ATAGCAATATCAGTAATTGTCACAAGAGCTGGGATCAGAAATGGGGGTTGAAAGAGAAAGCACAAACGCTTGGGTATGCATACCGAATTAAAGGACATGGAAGCAAAATACACTTGCAATATGTGTGTTAGGGACCCAAGAGGCACTAAAGTTCACTAGTTGGGGCAAGCACTCATTAAGATCAATTAAAATCAGGGTTGGCCTTCTGACACGCCGGGGACTCAAAAACACCACGTTAAAAGCGTGAGCTGGTTGCGCTGCCCCTAGGGCAGGATTTACGAACCGCTTGACGAAAAGCTCTCGGAGAAACCAGGCTGGGGCTTGCCACGGGCAGGTGGGCAGCACCCGCCTCACCACGACACAAGACACAGAGGGCTGGATCACAAGCAATAACAATACAATTGGCCTGCACCGCCGCTCGCTTCATTTTGCAACTAAAACAAAGGGACGCCGGGTTGGGCAGAGCTCTCCCACCGCCTCCCTCAGCGAAGCGCACGCCGATCACGGCGGCCCTTAACGGTCGCTCCTCCCGCCCGCGCTGAGGCGCGTGCCCGCCGCCGCTCACGCCCGCAGCTCCGCCCCTTCCCCCGGCGCCCCGCCCCCCGCCGCCGTTGCGGAGCTTCCGGCGGCGCGTGTCGCGGCGGTGGCACGCGGCCCGAGGTGCTCCGCCCTCCGGACGGGGTAGGGTGGCGGCTCCGCTCCCGCGCGCGCGGGGTGGGAGGGGAAGGGGGCCGCGCTGCCCACCGGGGTCCATCCCGTAGGGCGCGGCCCGCTGAGCGCGATGGCGGGCCCGGGGCAGCCCCGTACGGTGCCGGTCCTGGTCCTGCGCGGCGGGTGTGGCCGGCCGCAGGTGTGTGCTCGCCCAACGGCCGGGCCGCTTGGACGGTTCCCCGGCTGTGGTTCGGTGGTTGTCGGTGCCGGGGCGGGTGCTGTCTGAGCGGCGGGGAGGGGACCCGGCGGCGGTGGCCGTGCCAGGCAGCCCCGCGTGCTCCGCGGTGGGGGAGCCCCACCGGTGCCCGTGGGTCTCCGCGAGACCTGACCCGGCGAAGGTCCGTGTCGGCAGGGAGCGCGGGTGCCCCGGGAATGCGACATTAGGGGAGGAGATGGAGCACGCCGGAGGAGCCGTTGTAGGAGCCGGCAGCACCGGGGTGTCGTCTCCTGTGCGGGTCCCTGTAGAGCCGGGCTCCCCACAAGCGTTCAGTGCTGCGTGGTACCTGTTGTATTACACGAGTTACACCTTCCTGCCCCAGCTGACCCGTCACAACACGACAGAAGCACAGGGCGGGAGCTCAGCTGGCAGTACTTACGTATTTGTTATTTTAGGTACGTGCTTCGGGGTGCTTCACTTGGTGTGACTTGTTATTTATCGTAGCGCAGGCTGGTGGTTGGACTGTGGGAGACAGCGCCGTGGCCTAATCCGCTCTGGTCAGGGCAGCGAGGGGGCAGTTGGCATACAGAATATGCCTGCATTGAGAAGTGGTACAACGTAGTGAAGAGAAAATGAGAACACAGATGCACTTCGGTTGATTATTGAGAGTAGTATTGAACTGGGATATTTTTACTTTTTTTTTCTGCATGAGGAGAGTTTCACCATAGGTGGAAGGGCAGCTGGTCTGATGCTGGTAACTAGGCTCTGTGTAGAATGACCCGGTTTTAAAAAGGGGCTACCTGATGATTTACCCATAGTGAGAAACAATTCCTTACATGTGAACTGTGAGTGTCAACAGCGGTCACCCTTGCCGTGTTTCAGATGCCTGAGGAACTTTTGTCTGTTTTGTGCTGTGGTGCTAACACTGTGCAGTGAGCTCTGCTCCTAGCAGGAAGGAATGGGCAGTTAGTGAAGTAATCTGAAATTAGTGGATTTTGTATGTTTTAATGTTCATGATTGTGCCACAAGCAAGATTTTAAATAGATATAATTGCCATGATGTGCCATTATTTTTCAAACTGTAAATTTATAAGTCCCAAATGGCTGCTCATAGTGCCATAACACAAGAAGAATCACAGCGAGTGGGGCCTGAGTTTGAAGTATGCTCAAAGAGCTTATTAATTTTTAATTAATATTGGCTTCTGGTTTCAACAAGTTGAGTGTAGATGTTAGTATAATCTAGGTAATTAACAGTGGGAGATACTAACCTGTGGTAAAAATACTCTGGTTTAGCCTGTAATGTACAGATCCTATATTCCCTCTATTTATTAGTGTACAAAGATTATTAAGAGATTTCCGATTTACTGTCTTCTATCTAAGACACGTATATTAAATTGCATTAATCTTTCTTCAGAGGTAATACAGCCTATCGCTTTTGTCATTTATATGTTCTTTGTAATTTGTTAGTGCTGTTGTTTCTTTTATAGTCAAATGAAAGAAACCTGCACAGTAGTCCCAAGTGTGAGATTAGCAAAGCTGGTGTAAAGAGGAATTATTACCTCTGTGGCTTTAAGAATCAAACCTGATGTGTATACATGACTTGTAGGTGCATGTGCTTTTCAAATAGTACAAATTCTTGTCTAACACATGATTTGCCAGGGATACGTAAGGACAGCATTTCAGGACTGTACACAAAATAGATTTGTGTACATAAAATCCCTGTAAAAAGGGGCAAAACAGAAGAAGACTGAAAAGATCTAGACCTTTTGAATGCTTTAGCTTAATTAGTGCCTGTTCCCATGAAATCTGTACAGAATCCGTAAGACATTTTTCTTTATATAGTCTTGTTGTGTTTGAAAGAAGTCAATTCCAGTCTTAGAGGACTTCATGTATAGCATGAAGGGAAGAAGTGTTAATCATAATAGAAAAAGGTATTTCCTCATGTAATTGAAATAGCTGTCAGTTAAGTAATGATCTGAATAGGAGAGACTGTAAGTAAAGCGATGGGCTGTAATGTATTTTGAAAGAAGGTGGCATCTCTCTCTTCTAGGAAAGTTTTATTCCATGCCAAGTGTGGTCTCGTTCTCTGAAGTCCTGTCTATTTTGTAAACTCAAAGGTAACATTTCCATGGCCCTTCGAGCTGGTCTGCCTTGAGAGTGTTGCAGTCTTAGAGCCAGCACTGGTTTTTGTTAAAACTGGCAGTGAGTTGTTTCAGGGAGATGAACAGACTGAACACTGCACTTACTTGCAGGAGTGGTTGGTGTCGGTGTCTGGCTGGGTTAGCCGCAGTGTTCCTCAGAAGTGCTGGCTGGAGAGGTGGCTGAGGAGCCGAGAGGGGTGAGTCTGCGTGGGGCATGAGGTGGGGCAGAGCTCAGGCAGCCCCAAGAGGCCAGGGGTGAGAAACAGTCTGGAAGTGCAAAATGAGCAGGGAGGCCTGGGACAGCAACTCGCAGTGTTGCTATGCATTCATAGTGCATTGCTTTCTGTTTCTGACTGAACAGTTAACACCCTCGGTGTTAGTCTGTGGTGGCCACTGGAGTTCCTGATGTTTAATAGTGCCATTTCAGTCTGTTTAGTGATATATTGACAGAAAGAAATGATTATATGAAAGAAGCCAAATAAAAGGAAAGAAGTAGAAGGCTGCTTCTTGGGAGGAGGATAATAAGACACAGTTAAAAGAAACCTTTATTAAGCTTCAGTTTGGCATAATTATACTTGTACAAGTGGAAATCAATAATATGCAATGGGCCGAAGATGCTTTTGGCGATTGGAAAGTATAGTTGCATAGGCCTAAATGGATGTCTTAAAAATAATCATGTAGTCTGGGGGAGGGGGAATTTTTCCACATAAACTTTGCATGTACACGAACTGCTCCACTCCAGCGCTGTTTATCTTAACTCCTTGTATAGGCCTGAGTCTGCATTTTAATCTTTTTTGCAAAGTTAACTCCCTTTAATTGGAAACCAGCTTGACCTGTGGTAGTTCCTGAAGAAATCTCTCTATATCATCTGGCCTGACTGGTGCGTATTTAATGTAATTCTTGCACTGGCTTATTATCCTTTAACCTTCTGAGCAATTTTTCATTGGTCTTTTAACTGTACACAGTTCTTGACACTTCTTTTAAAATTCCAGAAGAAGAGTTCTTATTTGTATTGTAGTCCTAATGCTCATTTTCCTTCTTAATAATTTTCTCTTTCATCTTAGTGGAAACTAATCTACTAAATTCTATATTGCTTTTAACTCTCTGGAAGTAATTTACCTCCACTTGTATTGTTCAAACTAATGCATTTTTATGAAAGATGTATGCTCCTCCCTGTTTCTTCCTACTTACTTTTGAGCCTGTTGACCAGTGTCAGCCAAAATTGACAAAGTGGTGTGTCAAAGATACCAATTTTTTCCAGGTTTTATGAAATTAATTTCCATTTCTGCTAATGGAAAATCTGCAGCATGATTTCAGGTTACCTGCTCTGTTAGACCTGGCTTAAACTGGCCAGCTAGTTGATGCCTAGCTCTGGATGAGTTGGCAGTTGAGCTGCTCTTTGACAAGCTGATAGGGAGCACAGCTGGTTTTACAGCAGTGCTGTAAGAGCTCCGGGCTATGGCCAGAGGAAGCCTGGAGTTTGCAATGCAAACGTGCAACATAGTATGTATGTGAGAAGTGTAGGATGTGTATGTGAGGTAAGTGATTCGTACCTGATCTTGAAATACTTCATATTCTTAAAATTGAGCTCTGTAAAGCTATAATTTCCATGGAGAAGCCTTCAAAACATGTTAATTAGTGAAATTTTGAGCTAGAAGCTGGTGTATATTCTGGTTTATATGTGATTCCAGGGTTTGACAGCAGTAAGTTTGTTGAAGTTTAATGTCTGTTGGCATATTCTGTAGATAGATTTTTCTTTTTAGGAGGGAAAAATCCAGGAAGAAGATGTATTTGTAATCTTCATTTACATCTTACAGCAGCTCCATGCTGAAAAGATAAAATAACAGTTTTCAGTTTGGAGTTCTTTTGTTTCTTGGGGTGGATTTCTTTTTGTGGTTTTTTTTTTTGTTTGTTTGTTTGTTGTTGCTTTGGGTTTTTTTGGTTGGGATTTTTTTTGTTATTTTTTTTTGTGTGAGGGGGAGAGATTGGGGGTTGTGGTACTTTTATTCCCAGTGCCTTTTCTAAAAGGTGGTTCAACAGGATGTTTGGGGGAAATGTGACATTATTGGGTTTTGGCATTCCAGGAGAGCTTGAAGTGGATCCAGCATACTGTCTTACGCATTCCCTTCTGCACTGAATGTCAGGAGTAATTCATGTTGTTGACAGTTATGTGAACATGTGAAACTGAGTGAAGGACAGGAACTAAACAAAAAGCTAATAATAGAAGAGGCATGAAAGTGAAAAGTGAACACTTTGTTAGTAAACTTTCTCACTGTCACAAGTTAGAGGGTCAAATAGTGCAGCCTGTCCTTATCTGTTACCACAAGCTCCTTCTTGTTGGCAATGTTCAAGCCAAAGAGAGCCGTTACGTGCATTTTGTCAGTATGGGAAACAAGCAGTTTACCCAAAGAAAAAAACACTGGGTTTATATAGAGGCATACAAAAGTAATTTTGATTCATCTCAATTTGTTCAGTTATTTACTCCTGCTGTCAAAAGCTCTATGAAGAATGGTAACCATTGCACACATCTTTGCCAGGCAATATGAGACAACATGGTAGTTGTTGTTTGATGTGTCTTCTGCAGTAGAAGAGTCAGCTCTGTTAGTTCAGTGATTACCACCCTGTGTATCCTGTGGTAAACTAACCAGCCACTCCAGTACAGGCTGTTGAAGAAACATTTATTCTATTTTGAGACATGCTTAGTCATCCCTGTTTTGGCCTCTTCACAGGTTACAGGCATTACTTGTTTTTCTTTCCTAGTAAAGCTGATGAATAGGTTAATCAGAAGGCCAGTTTGTGAAAAAGTTTGTGGTGCTGGAGGATGTGAATTCTGGAGTGCTGTGTTATTGCCAAGTGTGTTGTGTAATGCTAGTAGTAATCAGAGAAAATGTTCTGCATTTATTGTGTGTTAGTAAATCTGAAAGTTCACATCATGCAGGTATGGAGTGGCTGCTAAATATGGGACAAGCATATGTAATAGGATCCTTATTAGTAGGGAATATGATACAGCCCGAGGACAACATTCAGCTATAAATATTTCTTCATACCTGTTGTAAATAGAAAACTTTACTAAAGAGACTTGCTTTCAATTTGGCTTTCTCTAATTGCTAAACCTGTTTGTATGTTTGTCTTGTGATTTGGTGTATGCTGTGTAAACTGCATCTGTACCTTAATTATTAGTATGTTTTATGTTGATTTTTTAGGCAGCCTAGCAGCATGCAGATCTAGCACATTTTGTGTTTAACCGAGTTGTTACATAAATTAAAATATTTTCTCTTATCAGAATTAAAATGCTTTCTATGGGGACTTCAGCTTCTGATGCCAAGACTCTTTTGAAGACTTACTTTATTGCTTGGCTTAAAGGAAGATGATGTTGTTAATGAATTCTGATCATCCTTCAGGAGGCTCGTGATCCTTCTATTGTTGGTGAATGCTGTTATGGACAACTTTCAAAGGGTAAAGGCAGTGGTTTTGTGAGTGTTTCAGGCTAGTGCTCTAAGGAAGCAGTGGGTTAAATTTTTGGTTTGTATTAACTGCCCAAAGCTCACTTTTTTCACTCTTAAAACTGTTCACAAATCATGGGAACAAATTCGAGATAACAGTTTGCTGGAGCGGCTGTCCAGCTTTCTACATGAGCTATCTTAGAAGAGTGTATTTTTTCCCCAGATTCTAGAATAATATAGATACACTTGAGCTATCTTTAAATGAACTAATTTGGGTCTGGCAAGTCTTACCTCAAAATATAAGCAGTGAAGTAACTTAGGTTTTGTTGAGCTGTGTACTGCTACAGCCTTACTTGAGTACTTTGTTTAGAAGTCAGTTTTATTTTAAGTATTTCAAAGCTATACTATGGATAATTTTAGCTGTACCTTCAGATACTCTTCTACAGTTGTTTACTGCAAAGGCCAGATTTCATTTCATACTTGATTTAATTTCCATAAGTCGATGCAAGTTTTTTTTTTGCCTCTTAATAAATCTCTGAAAATAATGCTTTATTTAATCATTAGGCTTTTTGTTGCTTGAGGGCTAGTTTTGGCTAATTTTTCTTCATAGTCTTTTTTTTAAACACAGTAAATGGGGGGTGGGGTGGGCTCACTTAATAGCCTCTAACTAAATAATTGTCTTAAAATGTAGTAGTTTATTACTGGTCTAATAGCAGTATTTTGTTTAAGACAGTATTTAAAGGAGTACACTTTGCTTTGTAAGAATGCTTTATTTGCCTACTGTGTTTATTCATTCTGTTTTATCAGCTCTTTTCCAAAACATCACAAGCAGTTAATGCACCTTATAAAGGACTCCTGACCTTTTGCATCTTCCCAAGTCAGATCTAGATGTCACCAGTGTTTCCCATGTTAACAGTTCTGAGCATGTTTTACTATATGTGCCTTCGGCGCCGAGCTAGGACAGCGACGAGAGGAGAAATGAACAGCCGAAGGGCTATTGAATCAAACACCCGAGCCTTACCTATCAATGTTGAAATAGTTCAGTATGCCAAAGAAGTGTTGGATTTCAGTTCTCACTATGGTAGTGAAAACAGCATGTCGTATACCATGTGGAATTTAGCAGGTATTCCTAATGTGTACCCTAGTTCTGGTGACTTTACTCAGACTGCTGTTTTTCGAACTTACGGAACCTGGTGGGATCATTGCCCTAGTGCTCGGCTGCCGTTCAAGAGGACACCACCAACCTTCTGTAGCCAGGATTATGTGGAACTCGCTTTTGAGGAACCAGTTTATCCCACTGCAGTGCACATTCTGGAAACGTATCATCCTGGAGCTGTAGTCAGGATTTTGGCATGCTCTGCAAACCCTTACTCACAAAATCTGCCAGCTGAAGTAAGGTAATTTATTTTTTTTTTATCCTCAATGCTTTCCTGTAAGATGTTAAATGCTACAAATAATGCTGTGTAGCAAACTACTTCCTAGTACTTCTGTTTTATATCTGATACACTGATGTTTCCTCTATTTCTGCATGTTTTTAAAACTCTGGTGACATGTTTTGATAGCAGCTTGAGATGTGGATTTTTTTGTAGGAATTAATGCAGATCCTAATTATGTTTGTGTAATGATAGTTTTTGTGTTGGAATTTTAATGAGTAATAATTATTATGTATGTGCAAAAATCAGTTTTGAAGTGACATTTCCGAGTTCTTCTCTTTCTCCAATAAAAAAAGCAAACGATGTAGGAGAGGCTGAGGATTCATGGTTGCTGTATCATCCTTCTTCAAGTAGCCATAAACTTTCTTCTGGCTGCATACGTTAGGCTGTATGTATAGTACAATCAGGCACTATAACTGTTCATATGGAAATGAGGCCAAAGCCAGAAGCACAGAACAGTTGGACAAAAGGTGATGCCATTTGTTTGATTTTACTTTTTTTTGTATGATATAAGGGTGTTAGCCATACATCATTTTTACACTTGCTTCATAGGCTAAAAGAAGCCAATTTGATCCTGTTGGTTTTCCTCATAGTAGGAAGTCATGATGCAATTTCATTTGGGGGGCAGGAAGATGGGAACCTGGAAATTGGTAAGATAATAAAGAAAAGCACTGTACGGGGTGTGAGGCTCTTAGTGAGGAGATTAGAATATAGAAATGGAAGGAGAAAGAAAACAGATAAAAGCATAGTGGGGAAGAACATGGGGAAAAGCTATCAGTATATGCAGTCAAAGTATTCTGTATGCATCAGAAAGATAGTAAAGAACCCATAAAAGAAAACTGATAGAAGAAAAACTATCCTATAGAAAATAGCATGCTAAACCAATACAGTGTTCCTTTAAAGTGCAGACTGTGGCAGTATAAGCAGTGTTAGCTTGGATACTGGGTGGTTTTTTTCCTGGCTTGCCTGTTACAGATACAGCCAAAAAGCATGCTTTGAGGTCTAATGTAGTAACCCATACTTCCTAATACTAGGCCATTGATGTTTATTCAAAATCCCTAGAAAATCAGGTGTCATGTCATATATTCAAAATTCCCAATTAGTATATTTTGTGTGGTTCTGTCACTTACTGTTTTTTGGTACAGTTGTTTTACAGCACTCTGATAAATATATACTGTATAGCTCTAAAGTAAACATCTGAATTCAAGGGACAGTGATAAATCAAACTAATAATAGTAAGCCACCTAGCTTCAGAAGTAGAGTCTCTTTGGCACTGTAATACAGAACTTATTTATGAAATGGTATGTGGTAAAGGCAGCTTTTAAGACTTCTAAACTTGGAACCTAATGTGAAATGGTTTTTGGTCAATTACTCTATGAACTTCCATTTTACTATTTTATAATGTAGCACAGATTTATGAAGATATTTCTGTAACTTGATAATACTGTTTTAGAGTAATAGTAAGATCGTGCTCTGCAGGTCGGTATGAAGATATAATTCTGAGTAATAGGATATAGGATAATGCTGTTTTATAAAAATGCCTGTTTAGGTTTTGGCTCTTAAAATAATACTCCTTGTAGTTTCGTGTAAAAACCAATAAGCATTGTAGGAAAGCTTAAGAAGTGTTAACTGAAAGAGCTGTTTAGTAATGAGCACTAAGAATAAAAAATATTTCAGAGTGCTAAAAGAAGGTGAAAGTAAAAATACTAAAAAATACTAATATGAAACTTCTTGGATGTGCTTTATGACTGTGCTTGGGGTGTGGACAGAGTCAGAGCTCAGACTTTCAATTCTTTGTAAATAAGGATGAACCTTCTGTAGGACCTGCTTTTGAATTTGTAGGCAAGAGTATCTTCTGCCTACCTACGTTAACAATATCTTGGTTAGAAGAACTCAGAAGAAGTTGTCTGTGCTGCATCTTCAGGACTTGTCAGTTTTGATGCTAGGAAAGTGTTAGAGGGACTTTTTTTTGTTTGTTTGTTTCTTTTTGGCTTACCTTTCCTCAGCAGGACTTGTCTGTTGAGAGCTGCACATTTGGTTTGGCTCTTTCTTCTGAAAGAGACAAACATATCTTAACATCTTGAAGGGAAGATAAAGGAACTCTTTCTCCACATGAGGTATGCAGTATTTTTCCTCTGTTCATTCTCTTCCCCATATAAGGGGAATATGAAGAGTTGCAAGAATGTGGTCTCTTTTCTGCTTCAGTTCCTGGCCCCTTGTTTTCATTTCCAGAAATTTTCTGAAGTGTCAACTAAGAATTATTCTTTTTGAAGCTGAAATGCTGATGATAATCTCAGTTACTCTGTGTTGAATTGATGTTTTGGACTTGAAGAACTATTGTACTATCTCCTTCTGTTAAAAAGGCCCTGTCTGAATTACTGGAAGGACACTTAGAATTTGTCTTCCTCCTCTTTCTATTTTGATGCAGAATTTTAAATCACCTTATTCCCTAAAAACCTTAAAGTACTGTTTTATCTGCCGACTCTGGATCTGTTTTTTTCTGAACACCAATGTAGAAACGGCAGGTTATTAGAAAAGTTCCTTTTCATCAGCTCTTTCTTTGATACAAAGAAAAGACCATATTAATGGTGAATTCAAAACTGTTGAGAGGAAAAAGTCTCTTGAGACTTGTTTAAATGTTACATTTAGTGGATTATACTAGTTGAGCTGAGTAGTCTTTTTTTTTTTTTTCTTTGTTTAATATTTAAAACATCAGCTAAGCCAAGACTGCTGTGTGCAAAAACTTCTAACCTACAAGAGGCTCTGTAAGGACTTGGGCCACCACAGCCCTCACTCAAGGGGACTGTATATATTCTTGTGGAAAAGTGGCTATAGCTCACATTGGCCACTGTGCTGCTGTTGCTCACTTTATGCTTCAGTTGTCTGAAAGAGGAACTTACACAGGTATTCAGAAAAGGGTCTTTAGTCATGTTCCTCGGTTGCTGGTGCACTGAATACTGCTATCAGTTGCAGCTTTGTATGGTGCTGTCTCAGATCAGCATTATTCAGAGCCGTTTTTTAGAGGTAGGATCAGCTCTTCTGTAGTGTTGTAGTTTAAACCCAGCCACACAGCATGTTCGCTCACTCCCCCCCTTCCTCCCTCTTTCTTTCCTTCCTCCCTCCCCCCCTCCCCCCTTGCTTCTGGAGGGATGGGGAGGAGAACCGAAAGAATGCAACTCCCACGGGTTGAGACAAGAACAGTCCAGCAACTAAGGTACAACACAAATCACTACTACTACAATACGATACCACCTGCTGAAACGAGTCAGACCCAAAAGAGAGCACCCGTGCCCTTCCGGGTAACTCCCAGTTACCTCCCTGGGCATGACATGCTGTGGTATGGAATACCTCTTTGGCTAGTTTGGGTCAGGTGTCCTGTCTCTGCTTCCTCCCGGCCTCCCCTCCTCCCTGGCAGAGCATGAGACTCACAAAGTCCTTGGTCAGAGTAAACATTACTGAGCAGCAACTAAAAACATTGGTGTTATCAGCTCTGTTCCCAGGCTGAAAGTCAAAACACAATGCTGCACCAGTGACTAACAAGGAGAAAAAATTGACTGCTACTGCTAAACCCAGGACAAGCAGTTAATGTGAAATCATTTTCAACTAACTTCCAGCAGTTTGAGAGTTCTGTGTCTTCTCATAGCTTTTGCAGCTTTAAACAGAGAAGACATTGCATCACTCTCTTCTGCATAAAACAATTTTTAAAAGTCATAAATGTCATAGAAACTGCTGTCTTTACACATGAAGACCTGTGCTTTTCATCAGTGCCACTTACCCGTTGACTGTTGAGAAATGTTTGGTTGTTTCTTAAACTATGCTAACATCATGTTAGTATCCATGTATAGATTTGTTACATGAATTGTCTGAGTGCAGAAAATCCAAGCAAAAATTAATAATCAAAAATTAAGGGAGTTTTGTAGCATAGGGTCTCAGTTGTTTTATGGTGAAGGAATCCATCCCTTTCTTACGTTGCATTCTACTATGGTTATGCTAGTGCAGCCTTGAGATTTTTGTATTGTGGTGCACATTCTCTGTACTTAGGGTTTGGTGACAGCAATGTGGCCCTCTTTGGGCAGTGGAAGAGCTGTCTTAGAACTGCAGGGACTCTTATCTCATGCAGGTTATAGTGACACTGTACATTCAAGTGCTTTTATAAAAAGCTTAAAACCAGAGATTCCTAACTAGTTTGAGATGTGTGGCTGTGCTTGGGGTAATGTCATAGCATATAGTTGCTGGAGAGTGTCCAAAGAAGTGGGACAAAGCTGGTAAAGGTCTAGAGCACAAGTTTTATGAGGAGCATTTGAGGGATCTGGGTTTGTTTATCCTGGAGAAGAGAAAGCTTGGGGGGGACACCTTATTGCTCTCTACAACTACCTGAAAGGAGGTTGTAACCAGGTGGTGGTTGGGCTCTTCTCCCAGATAATAAGCAACAGGCTTTGAATTGCAGCAGAGGAGGTTTAGATTGGAAAAATAGGAAAAAATTCATCACCAAAAGGGTTGTCAAGCGCTGAACAGGCTGCCCAGGGAAGTGGTGGAGTCACCACCCCTGGAGCTTATTTAAAAGGCATATGGATGTGGCACTTAAGGACATGGTTTAGTGGTGGACTTGTCAGTGCTAGGTTAACAGTTGGAAGTGATCTTAAAGGTTTCTAAACATTTAGACTAACCTAAAAGAATTCTATGATTCCGTATGTCCTTATGATATTAATGATAGCTTCCTTAGTAGGTTGAAGATTATTTTGTGATTTATTTTATTTTGGTTTTAGTTCTTCCACAGATAAAGTGTAACACTGATTAGGTGGTTTCTCATAGATGAGATACTATGATCATTTGACTGGCTGGGAAAAGTTCCATTATGACTTGTGTGCTCTTGCCATTTATTTCTGTTTAATTTATTTCATCTTAGAATTTTTCTAGATGCTCTTTTGAGCAGAACTCTGAGTTTGATTTGTAGATGAATGGCT